TCGTATCTTACCCGAAGGGAACACGCGTCGAGTCGACGAATTACGATCCAACAACGATGTGGAATTGTGGAGTACAAATGTGTGCCTTAAATTATCAAACTTCTGGTAAACGAGGTTTTATTTTATTTAATGAATGATTACAGCAATTCACCATCTCCTCCGTTAACTTTGCAATGGTACTATTATCTTGCTTCGCTGTAGTTTTTGCGTTGACTTAAAGTACTGTGGGCACGCATGAGAATAACTACTACTACTACTACTACTACTACTACTACTACTACTACTACAATACAATAACTACTACAATACGACCAGCAGTACCGTAGCCAGCCCGCAAGTTTTGGTCGTGCTATGTAAATTTTGGACATTAGCATTATTTCTTTAGAAATCTCATCTTTGTACAGTGAGTGAACACAGAAAAATTAACATAGCAGGACCAAATTTCCAGGCTGGGGTATACGCCACTGACTACCAGCATTAGGGTTATGATTAGGGTTAGCCGTGTTTTCGTAAATTTTAATCCTTTCCATAATTCTAATCCTAAACATCATTTTTTTGTTAAGTAGAATTGCCGCCATTTTTCTCATTTTTGTGCCCGCAATATTTTTTTTCGAACAGCGGCAGACATTGTTCATTAATTAAGCTGCAAATGATCATTTGTTTATGGAAATTTTTTCCACGAGCAAATAAGAATTTTATTTTGAAAATTTTTTCGACTCTCTCGGGAGACTGTTGTCATCTTACTACCTTTAAGTTTGTGTTATTTTGATTTTCAGATCGACCTATGCAACTAAATCACGGAAGGTTCATGGATAACGGAGGGTACGGTTTTGCATAGTATATATCATAATGGCAACATTGAGGGATCTTTGCTGATCATATTTTTTTCATACAGATGTGGTTATGTATTAAAGCCAGACTGCATGAGTTTAGAAAATTTCGATCCATACAATACAAGCTTACTAAAAAGCGTCAAACCTGTCACCATTAGTTTAACGGTAGGTGCTCATTTTCCCGCCCAAAAATCCTCGATTGAAATTTGCTGACCGACTTCGTTTTAAACGTGGGCGCGTTTTTTATTCAGATAATCTCTGGTCGACATTTACCGAAGATAGCTCGAGGTGTCACGTCACCGTTCGTCGAAGTGGAAATCGTTGGAGCTCAATATGACACACAGAAATGTAGAACTAAAACACAAGGTAATGTGGAAAAGTTTTTATCATACAGGGTGTATAAAAAAAACTGAACAGATAGGAAAACGCCGTAAATGTTATCAGCACACAAGATCTGCAAAAACATTTGGTGGAAGAATGTTGTTGGACTTCCACTAGATCATCTGACCGTAAAATTATTGCAGAGCAAGAAAATTCGGTGGAAGAATGTTGTTGGACTTCCACTGGATCATCTGACAGTAAAATTATTGCAGAGCAAGAAAATTTGGTGGAAGAATGTTGTTGGACTTCCAGTGGATCATCTGACAGTAAAATTTTTGCAGATATTTACCCATTTTAAGAGTGAGAATTGTGTTACCGAGAAGCAATTTTGAAATAGCTTGCGTACGTAAATAACAAAGCTAATAAGCAATTGGAACAAACAGAGTTAAAATATGGCACATGTTTTTCAAGCTTATCAACTCCCACGAAATTTACTCAAACCGTGCACGAACGCTAAGCATCCGAATTGCGCATTATTTTGCGCAACTTTTAATGTCATATGAGAATAACCACCTATTTCCACAAAAGGTTTTTGCAGATCTAGCGCGCTGACGACTTTAGCGATGATTTCCCAGTTGCTCAGTTTTTTTGATACACCCTATATATATATATATTAATGTTTCTCCAACAAAGAGTATTGATCAAATCTTCGCTCCTATTCAAATTCACAATGTCGTGATTTCTATCTTTTCTATTTTAATGCACTAAAACAGAGTTCTAGTTTCTTTCATAGCTTAATATCATAGATAACAACATCACGTTGTTGTGACGTAGTCAGGTAATAGCAAGTTAATCATTGTCTCCGTTTTCATCCAAATTTTTAGATGTCAACGGTTTGAACCCAGTCTTCAACATGCACACTGAATTCGACGTGCTTTGTCCCCCCCTGGCTTACATTCGATTCGCCGTTTATGACGAAGACATGTTCGGTGATCCCAACTTTGTTGCCCAAGCCGTGTTTCCACTTGGGAGCCTACGATTGGGTGAGTTTTTAAATAGACAAAGTTTTGACACTGTATGACGGAAAACAGCTATTTTGATTATCTGTTTCTGTGTTTTTATATTTGTTAAGGTTACAGATCAGTACCATTGAAAAATGCTTATAATGAAGACTTGGAGATGAGCGCGTTATTGATCCATTTGGATATGTTCATGGTAGGATTCTACTTTCCTGTGGTTGATGACAATATGTATGATTTATGATAATACACCATATAACTTCTTTTTGTTGATGGCAATAAATCATACTGTCTCTTTCTGTGGTTGGTGACACTAGAACCACTTTCAAAAAGTAGACAAAGGTAGACTTAAATTTGAAGACAAACGTACAGAAAAGTTAGATACAAAGTTAGACAGAAATGTGTACACAAAGCAGACACAAAGTTAGACATCAATGTACCCTCAAAATAGACATAAAGATAGACAACATAGACAAAAAGGAAGACATCAAGGTAGACATGAAGGCAAACCCTTAGGTAGTTGTAAAGGTAGGCATGAAGGTAGACATAAAAGTAGACATAAAGGTAAACACAAAGATAGACACAAAGATAGACATAGTTAGACATAAAGGTGTGACACAAAGATAGACACAAAGGTAGACACAAAGGTAGACATAACGGTAGACATAAAAGTACACATAAAGGTAGACACAAGGATAGACACAAAGATAAACATAAAGATAGACATAAAGATAGACATAAAGGTAGACATAAAGGTAGACATAAAGGTAGACATAAAGATAAACATAAAGATAGACATAAAGATAGACATAGTGTAGACATAAAGGTGGTAAAGATAAACATAAAGATAGACATAAAGATAGACATAAAGGTAGACATAAAGGTAGACATAAAGATAAACATAAAGATAGACATAAAGATAGACATAAAGGTAGACATAAAGGTAGACATAAAGGTAGACATAAAGGTAGACATAAAGGTAGACACATTTTTTTGCTTTTGAAAAAGCTGATTACTCCATTGATCTCCATCACCAGGATGAAGACGAAGAAGTTTATACTAACATTCATGATCTACGAAGCCAAATGCAACAGATCACGACGAGAATAGGCCAAGAAGCCTCGCACATTAATAATTCCGAAGAGTCCTTGGAGCTATCAACTATGAAAATGTTGGACAATGAATTCCGTGAAAAACAAATACAACTCAGGACACTGCTTGCAAAAAGGACAGCGAAGTATGTTTTACTCTTTTAAATATTTCTTTAGTCAGTTTTCAATTCGACTGTTGTTAATGGGGTTTGGAAACGGAGACTCGGCTAATTTTTATATCAAGAGACTGAATAATATGTAATATATATATATAGAATAAAATATAATAGGTAGCTTTTTCTATTATTTTTTCCTTACTAATATTAAAATTTCGTAAATTCTTTTATTCCTCAATTTTGCGATGAATTCCCAGTTCTTAAAATTCCTCTGTGCTTCCATTTTCAGGAATCGTGGGGAGAAACAAATGAAGACGAAGTCAATGTAACGTCAATGGGGAAAAATAACGTATTTTATATCGTGTCGTGCTTGTAAAGTTTAAAATGCAATTTTTTAATATTTATTGAACGTCCAGCTCATAGTCGTAGTTAGATTTTGAATATTTCAATGATTGATTAATCTGAATTGATTTGTCTGAATTGATTTGTCTGAATTGATTTGTCTGAATTGATTTGTCTGAATTGATTTGTCTGAATTGATTGGTCTGAATCGATTGGTCTGAATTGATTGGTCTGGAAGTTTTGAAATAAACGCAGGTAATTTTCTTTCCTTGGCTGATCTGTGTTGCTTTTGAACAATGGTTTTATAGTTTGACAATGCTCAAAAGCTGTCAAAGCTCATCAGCTTAAGTCATTGTGTATTCGGAATTACTTCATGAACACTGTCTATGCTTGTCTATGCTCCTGTATCATTACATGTGTAATTGTGTAATCATTACATGTGTAATTGTGTACAAAAATTGTAAGACAATTACTTATTAAATATCCTTTTTAGTAATCACTGTACTTAGTAGACGCCCTATTTAGTTAACCCCGTCAATATCCTATTCAGAAGACACTGTACATAGTTGCCACCCAACATAGTAGATACCCTACATAGTCGACACATACAATGATAACGGCATGAAAGATGATTGTCAAAACGAAGACTTTGGTACTCCCCCCTCAAAAGTATTTGTGTCATCATTAAAAACCAATAAAAACGAGCGGTATATTTGAAAGTGAAAAAAGGACCAATAAAATCACTGAAGATTTTGTTCGTTTTCCAAACAAAATGGCCGATTTCACTAGTTCACCAGGAACGCCAAGCGGACGGCACGAGAAATCACTGGTTTATTAACAACGAAATTCGTAACCTTTACAAGAAGCCAAGGATGGCGTTCTTGATTTAAAAATGGTTAGTATTGATTTAGCGTTCGTTGGATTGGAAAGATTCTATGTTGAATTTCATCATGTATCCCCTGGCTGTTCGTTGTCGAAATCATGGAATGTTGTAACGTTTATTTAAAACGTATATTTGTTCAGCTGGACTTACGCTGTACGACAGAAGAGAAGAATTTACGACATTACAAATGTGCTAGAGGGAATTGGCCTCATCGAGAAGAAATCGAAAAACAGCATTCAATGGAAGTAGGTATTTCCAAATAAATTGAAAGAATTTGAATTTTTGTAGGTTATTTCCTACGATACAACAAATGAAGAATATTTGCAGCAAGATTTCAACTTGAAAGCTATGCATAATCACCAGCCTTTTTATTCATTGCCTAAACTTTTCAACAGAGCAAGATCTGATATCAGAATTCGATTTTAGAACTTGCAGCTTTGGATGAGAATGAACACAAATCTTGATTTAGAAAATCGCCTCAAGATTTTGATAACGAAGCTGGCATATGTAACATATGATGACCTATGTCAGTGTTTCCGCAGATACTTCTTGCAATCCAAGCTCCTGCCGGAACCGAGTTGGAGGTCCCAATCCCAGAAAAGGTAGCTTAGCAGAGTGAAGGTGTAAAGGTGAATTGCTTGCATTTGTTTTGTATTGTCTTTTTTTATGAACATTTTTGTCCCTTACAGAGATTAGGCATTGACAGACGTTATCAAATTCATTTAAAAAGTCAGTTGGGTGAAATCAATGTCTTACTGGTCAATAAAGATCCCCTGAACAACCGTCCAGTGGTCACACCTGTACCCCCACCCTTATCCTTACCTCAATCATCTACGTTTGCAAATGATGACAACCTGTTACCTATTGTTAATGAGAAGATCACAACAGTTGCCGAAAAACCTTTAGATTTTGGAAAAACGAAACAGTCTATTGCTATGGAAACATCTCTTTCAGGTGAAGTGTTTAATTTATTTCAATTAAAGTTGATGCCATACAACACAAGCATGGGTTCTTTATTTGTTCTTTTAGCCCCCTTGCTTAAAGTTGCAAACTCCCCCCCATCCATTGTTGTATGCTGCTGTTATTCAATCAATTAACTGTTCAGTTCTCACAAACATATATCTGAATAAATTTTTTACACATTTTTTTTATATATTTGTGCATAGTTAACCTCTTGCATGGAGGTAAAATTAAAGACCCTGGGGCCTGGTTGCACGAAACTTGGATAGCATTATCCATTGGATAGCAAAAATTTTCAAACTTGTTAAAAAGGTGTTTATATTTTTCTTACAACAAAGTAATTTTGTAATCTTTGAAACAATATTTTATTTCAGTGATTGCACAGTTCAAATTGTATACTTATCTCCCATAAGAGGTTTTATGAACGTTCAGAAAAATTTGCTATCCAGGCTTCGTGCAACCAACCCCTGATGTTGAAGGCAACATCCCCTGCATGAAGTTGATGGTCACAACCCCCCTGCATGAAGTTAATGGTCACAACCCCCCTGCATGAAGTTAATTGTCACAACCCCTGCATGAAGTTGATGGTCACAACCCCCCTGCATAAATTTGAAGGTCACAACCCCACTAGCATAAAGTTGAACATTTTTGTTATTCAATCAATCAATGGTCCAGGTATTTTATGTTTAGAGTGTGAATTAAAACAAGTGGCAAATGAGATCATATTTTCAAATGAGGCCAAACCAGGTGGGTATAAACAAACGTAAGGTTAATTTCACTCTCGAGGACATTTGTTTTAATGTTTTGTATTTGTTTCATTGAACAGAACCAATAGATGTGTCGATGATCGATGACTTAGTTTCAGCTGAAGGTACAGTCAAAAATTTATCTTATCTTATTATTTTATCATGTTTTATCCTGAGAAAGTAAGGGGTCACATAACCCCATTTTGGCCACAATATTCCTGACTTTTACACTTTCCATCTCACTGAGCCACTTAGTAAGGGATACATCCACAGGGATACAAGTTTCTATTTACCCTCATTCAGGTTTCCCTTTGCCCTCATACAGGTTTCCATTTGCCCTCATACAGGTCTCCATTTGCTCTCATACAGGTTTTTATTTAGTCTAGAACATTATATACACTAACATTTTCCATGTATACAACTTTTTTATTGATAGTTTTGGCTCCTCTTCTTCGACTCTCCCCACCAGCTGGAGATGCTGACTATACCTTCAATCTGACAAGCTCCGAAGGCGTCTGTGATCTATTTGACATTCCAAATCTTGAGGCGATGCCTGCTTTTCCAAGTGTCTCTGCAACATAACCATCGAAGACCATATTATTTCTACTATTGTACTGACATTTTAAAGTGTTATATCATGTATCATAAGAGGCGTGATGATCGAACCCCCTGGATTTGTTCGTATCGAACCCATGCTCCAGGAGGGGTGGTTAATTGTTATACGCAAAATAAAGTAGGGTGGGATATACCTGTCTTTTCAACATAAACTTGCAAATCTGTCTTTGTTTACTCGCTTTAGTTCGTATCAATGCCATCTTCCGGGAGGGGAGGTGAATACACGAAATGATATCAGGGTGGTGTGTACCTGCTTTATGTTTACCTTTATGTCTACCTTTACGTCTATCTTTATGTCTATCTTTATGTCTATCTATCTAACTCACCGCAATTGACCAGTGAGCGACTTAAGTGCACATGTCATATATTGCAAAATGAAATCGTTTAATTGCTTAAAATTATCAGGTAGACAAGATTCGTAGAAAAATTCCCTTACCTCATCTATAAAATTTTCCTTTTCTGCTCATGTTATGTGTCCTCACTATTTAATATTAATTGCACCAAATATTCCAAAATAACGATGGTAAACAATGATGGATGTAAACAATTTTGTAACCTCTCAATTCAACAGATGTCAGGTACCAAAATGCCCGAAAATTTACGTAATCTTTACGTTACGAAATGCAAAATTACGTTACACAAATGTCCGCAGATAGTACAGAAATGCGTGCTTTGGTTACGAAAGTGCTCTATGATCGTTACACAAATGTCCGCTGACGGTGAAGAAATGCGTGCTTTGGTTACGAAAGTGCTGTATGATCGTTACACAAATGTCCGCTGACGGTACAGAAATGCGTGCTTTGGTTACGAAAGTGCTGTATGATCGTTACACAAATGCCCGCTGACGGTACAGAAATGCGTGCTGTGGTTACAAAAGTGCTGTATGATGGTTACACAAATTTCCGCTGACGGTAAAGAAATGCGCTGTGGTTACAAAGTGTTGTATGATGGTTACACAAATTTCCGCTGACGGTAAAGAAATGCGTGCTGTAGTTACAAGCGTGCATGATGGTTACACAAATGCCCGCTGACGGTAAAGAAATGCGTGCTGTAGTTACAAAAGTGCTCTATGATGGTTACACAAATTTCTGCTGACGGTAAAGAAATGCGTGCTGTTGTTACAAAAGTGCTCTATGATGGTTACAAATTTCCGCTGACGCTAAAGAAATGCGTGCTGTTACAAAGTGCTGTATGATCGTTACACAAATGCCCGCTGACGGTAAAGAAATGCGTGCTGTAGTTACAAAAGTGTTCATGATGGTTTACACAAATTTCTGCTGACGCCAAAGAAATGCGCTGTTGTTACTACAAAAGTGCTCATGATGGTTACACAAATTTCCGCTGACGCTAAAGAAATGCGTGCTGTTGTTACAAAGTGTTGTATGATCAGCCACAAATGCCCGCTGACGGTAAAGAAATGCGTGCTGTTGTTACAAAAGTGCTCTATGATGGTTACACAAATTTCCGCTGACGCTAAAGAAATGCGTGCTGTTGTTACAAAAGTGCTCTATGATGGTTACACAAATTTCCGCTGACGGTAAAGAAATGCGTGCTGTAGTTACAAAAGTGCTCTATGATCGTTACACAAATGTCCGCAGACGGTACAGAAATGCGTGCTGTAGTTACAAAAGTCGCTGAGATGAGGTTACACAAATTTCCGCTGACGGTAAAGAAATGCGTGCTGTAGTTACAAAAGTGCTGTATGATGGTTACACAAATTTCCGCAGACGGTAAAGAAATGCGTGCTGTAGTTACAAAAGTGCTGTATGATCGTTACACAAATGCCCACTGACGGTAAAGAAATGCGTGCTGTAGTTACAAAAGTGCTCTATGATGGTTACACAAATTTCCGCTGACGGTAAAGAAATGCGTGCTGTAGTTACAAAAGTGCTCTATGATCGTTACACAAATGTCCGCAGACGGTACAGAAATGCGTGCTGTAGTTACAAAAGTGCTGTATGCGATGACAAATTTCCGCTGACGGTAAAGAAATGCGTTGTAGTTACAAAAGTGCTCTATGATCGTTACACAAACGTCCGCAGACTGTACAGAAATGCGTGCTGTGGTTACAAAGTGCCAGTATGATCGTTATCAAATGCCCACTGACGGTAAAGAAATGCGCTGTAGTTAAAAGCTGTATGATACAACAAATTTCCGCTGACGGTAAAGAAATGCGTGCTGTAGTTACAAAAGTGCTGTATGATCGTTACACAAATGCCCGCTGACGGTAAAGAAATGCGTGCTGTTGTTACAAAAGTGCTGTATGATGGTTACACAAATTTCCGCTGACGGTACAGAAATGCGTGCTGTAGTTACAAAAGTGCTGTATGATCGTTACACAAATGCCCGCTGACGGTAAAGAAATGCGCTCTGTAGTTACAAAAGTGCTGTATGATCGTTACACAAATGCCCGCTGACGGTAAAGAAATGCGTGCTGTAGTTACAAAAGTGCTCTATGATGGTTACACAAATTTCCGCTGACGGTAAAGAAATGCGTGCTGTAGTTACAAAGTGCTGTATGATTTGTTACACAAATTTCCGCTGACGGTAAAGAAATGCGTGTGCCAGATTACGAAAGTGCTCTATGATCGTTAAACAAATGCCCGCTGACGCTAAAGAAATGCGTGCTGTGGTACAAAAGTGCTGTATGATGGTTACACAAATTTCCGCTGACGGTAATGAAATGCGTGCTGTGATTACGTAAGTGCTCTATGATCGTTACACAAATGCCCGCTGACGGTAAAGAAATGCGTGCTGTTGTTACAAAAGTGCTCTATAATGGTTACACAAATGCCTGCTGACGGTACAGAAATGCGTGCTTTGGTAACAAAGTGCTCTATGATCGTTACACAAATGCCCGCCGACGGTGAAGAAATGCGTGCTTTGGTTACAAAAGTGTTGTATGATGGTTACACAAATTTCCGCTGACGGTAAAGAAATGCGTGCTGTAGTTACAAAAGTGCTGTATGATGGTTACACAAATTTCCGCTGACGGTAAAGAAATGCGTGCTGTAGTTACAAAAGTGCTGTATGATGGTTACACAAATGTCCGCTGACGGTAAAGAAATGCGTGCTGTAGTTACAAAAGTGCTCTATGATGGTTACAATGTTTCCGCTGACGGTAAAGAAATGCGTACAGTTACAAAAAGTGCTGTATGATGGTTAACAAATTCCGCTGACGGTAAAGAAATGCGTGCCAGTAGTTACAAAGTGTTGTATGATCGTTACACAAATGCCCGCTTGACGGTAAAGAAATGCGCTGTAGTTACAAAAGTGCTGTATGATGGTTACACAAATGCCCGCTGACGGAAAGAAATGCGTGCTGTGGTTACAAAGTGCTGTATGATGGTTACACAAATGCCCGCTGACGGTAAAGAAATGCGTGCTGTAGTTACAAAAGTGCTGTATGATCGTTACACAAATTTCCGCTGACGGTAAAGAAATGCGTGCTGTAGTTACAAAAGTGTTGCAAGATGGTTACACAATTCCTGACGGTAAAGAAAATGCGTGCTGATGCTACAAAGTGCTGTATGATGGTTACAATAAATCCGCTGACGGTAAAGAAATGCGTGCTGTAGTTACAAAAGTGCTGTATGATCGTTACACAAATGTCCGCAGACGGTAAAGAAATGCGTGCTGTAAAGTTACAAAAAGTGCTTGTATGATCGTTACACAAATTCCGCTGACGGTAAAGAAATGCGTGCTGTGGTTACAAAAGTGCTGTATGATCGTTACACAAATGCCCGCTGACGGTAAAGAAATGCGCTGTGGTTACAAAGTGTTGTATGATCGTTACACAAATTTCCGCTGAGGGTAAAGAAATGCGTGCTGTAGTTACAAAAGTGCTGCATGATCGCTACACAAATCTCCGCTGACGGTAAAGAAATGCGCTGTAGTTACAAAGTGCTGCATGATCGTTACACAAATCTCCGCTGACGGTAAAGAAATGCGTGCTGTGGTTACAAAAGTGCCAGGCTGATCTGTTACACAAAATGCCCGCTGACGGTAAAGAAATGCGTGCCAGAAGTTTAACAAAAGTGCTGTATGATGGTTACAACAAATTCGCTGACGGTAAAGAAATGCGTAGCTGTGATTACGAAAGTGCTGCATGATCGTTAACAAATCTCCGCTGACGGTAAAGAAATGCAAGCCAGTTACAAAGTGCTGGCATGATTTGTTACCAAATTCCGACGGCAAAGAAACGTGCGCTGTAGTTACAAAAGTGCTGTATGATCGTTACACAAATGTCCGCAGACGGTAAAGAAATGCGTGCTGTAGTTACAAAAGTGCTGTATGATCGTTACACAAATTTCCGCTGACGGTAAAGAAATGCGTGCTGTGGTTACGCGTTGTGCCATTCGATGGCACAAATGCCCGCTGACGGTAAAGAAATGCGTGCTGTGGTTACCAAAAGTGCTGTATGATCGTTACACAAATTTCCGCTGACGGTAAAGAAATGCGTGCTGTAGTTACAAAAGTGCTGTATGATCGCTACACAAATTTCCGCTGACGGTAAAGAAATGCGCTGTAGTTACAAAGTGCTGTAATGATCGTTACACAAATTCCGCTGACGGTAAAGAAATGCGTGCTGTAGTTACAAAAGTGCTGTATGATGGTTACACAAATTTCCGCTGACGGTAAAGAAATGCGTGCTGTGATTACGAAAGTGCTCTATGATCGTTAAACAAATGCCCGCTGACGCTAAAGAAATGCGTGCTGTGGTACAAAAGTGCTGTATGATTTGTTTACACAACTTCCGCTGACGGTAATGAAATGCGTGCTGTGATTACGTATGCTCTTATGATCCAACACAAATGCCCGCTGACGGTAAAGAAATGCGTGCTGTTGTTACAAAAGTGCTCTATAATGGTTACACAAATGCCTGCTGACGGTACAGAAATGCGTGCTTTGGTTACAAAAGTGCTCTATGATCGTTACACAAATGCCCGCCGACGGTGAAGAAATGCGCGTTTGGTTACAAAGTGTTGTATGATGGTTACACAAATTTCCGCTGACGGTAAAGAAATGCGTGCTGTAGTTACAAAAGTGCCAGGTGATGGTTACACAAATTTCCGCTGACGGTAAAGAAATGCAGCCAGTACAAAGTGCTGTATGATGGTTACACCAAATGTCCGCCAACGGTAAAGAAACG